ACACACACACACACACACACACACACACACACACACACACACACACACACACACACACACACACACACACACAAGCAACATTTTAATAACTGAATGTGACATAGTTACTTTATTTTGGTAAAGAATCTAAAATATGCCTGAGAAATACATAATATTGCCCCTTGAATAATTATATTAATTTCAGTCCTCCATTTAACTCCTGTGGAACCTCATGTAGAAGCTGTTTTAATATTTACAGTGAAATTGATTTCTCTGTTGTGTGGATTCTCATGTGTTTAACTTGCTTTATGACTAAATCTTTGTCCGCATACATCATGAGGAAGCAGTTTGTCTTCTGAGTGAACTCTCATGTGTGTGTTTAAATTTGATTTAAAATGAAATCTTTTTCCACAAAGATCACAAGGGAAAGGTTTGACTCCTGTGTGGACTCTCATGTGTGAGTTTAAATGTGGCTTTTGGCTAAATCTTTGTCCACAAACATCAGAAGGAAACGGTTTGTCGCCAGTGTGGACTCTCATGTGTAAGTTTAAATATGACTTACAGCTAAATCTTTGTCCACAAAGATCACAAGGAAAAGGTTTGACTCCTGTGTGGACTCTCATGTGTGAGTTTAAATGTGGCTTTTGGCTAAATCGTCGTCCACAAAGATCACAAGGAAAAGGTTTGTCTCCTGTGTGGACTCTCATGTGTGAGTTTAAAGATGACCTTTGGCTGAATCTTTGTCCACACAGATCACAAGGAAAAGGTTTGTCTCCTGTGTGGACTCTCATGTGTAAGTTTAAATATGACTTACATCTAAATTTTTGTCCACAATGATCACAAAGAAATGGTTTGTCTCCTGTGTGGACTCTCATGTGGGTTTTTAAATGTGACGTTTGGCTAAATCTTTGTCCACAAACATGACAAGGAAATGGTTTGTCTCCTGTGTGAACTCTCATGTGCGAATTTAAATGTGACTTATGGCTAAATCTTTGTCCACAAACATCACAAGGAAATGGTTTGTCTTCTGTGTGGACTCCCACGTGTTTCTTTAAAGATGACTTATGTTTAAATCTTTGTCCACAAACATCACAAGGAAATGGTTTGTCTCCAGTGTGGACTCTCATGTGTGTGTTTAAATATGACTTACAGCTAAATCTTTGTCCACAAAGATCACAAGGAAAAGGTTTGACTCCTGTGTGGACTCTCATATGTGTGTTTAAATTTGATTTAAAACGAAATCTTTGTCCACAGACATCACAAGGAAATGGTTTTTCTCCTGTGTGGACTCTCGTGTGGGTTTTTAAATGTGACGTTTGGCTAAATCTTTGTCCACAAACATCACAAGGAAATGGTTTGTCTCCTGTGTGAACTCTCATGTGTGAGTTTAAATGTGACTTATGGCTAAATCTTTGTCCACAAACATCACAAGGAAATGGTTTGTGTCCTGTGTGGACTCTCATGTGTTTCTTTAAAGATGACTTATGTTTAAATCTTTGTCCACAAAGATCACAAGGAAATGGTTTGTCTCCTGTGTGGACTCTCATGTGTGAGTTTAAATATGACTTATGGCTAAATCGTTGTCCACAAAGATCACAAAGAAATAGTTTGTCGCCTATGTGGACTCTCATGTGTGTGTTTAAATTTGATTTAAAACGAAATCTTTGTCCACAAACATCACAAGGAAATGGTTTTTCTCCTGTGTGGACTCTCATGTGTGAGTTTAAATTAGACTTTTGGCTAAATCGTTGTCCACAAAGATCACAAGGAAATGGTTTTTCTCCTGTGTGGACTCTCATGTGTGAGTTTAAATTAGACTTTTGGCTAAATCGTTGTCCACAAAGATCACAAGGAAATGGTTTTTCTCCTGTGTGGACTCTCAT